TGCGGCCATTACGGCCGGGATCGAAAACGCGACCTTCGGGTCAGCAGCCAAGCACCCTAGCTGCTGTTCTGCCGAGGTGAACAATATAATAATGTAATTATAGCTTTGTAGACAGAGCGTAGCACGGGTTTGTCGTCACATGCCGTAGTGGCCAAGATGATTATGAAGCTCGCAATGCTCAAATCAGCCGATAGCCATTTCCATGGGCTTATTGGGATATGACGCAGTTGACCTTCGGCTGTATATGGCATCCCTAGTCAAGAGAAGCAAAAGTGATTTCTAGCTGACTTTGAAATTGCAAACTGCAAACTCCAAGCTGAATGCTATGCTGCATTGTGCACGTTGGCTCACATGTTCACAGGAGCCTTGACTACCGTTTGACAGCATTTTCTGACCATGTTAAAACTTGGAGGACACTTGAGCTACGCCTTCAAAAGTACCGTATTAACTCTGGATTTTCCGGATCTTTTCGCGGTATACGGACGAAATTTTGTAACCGCCCATACCACGACGAGACATTCCTTTCTCAGTCGTGGAGTAACCTCAGCACGTGTTAACATTCTGCTTGCGTAAGCGATTACCCTTTCTGTGCCCTCTTGCTGCTGCACAAGCACAGCTACAAGATCAACATTGCTAGCATCAGTGTGAAGCATCGTAGGGGATCTCTCGTTGAAGTGGGCAAGGACTGAAGGTGTTTGTAGACGCTGGTGAAGATGGTTAAAAGCATCTTCCTCTTCGTTATTCCACTCAAAGGTGACGTCTTCTCTCGTGAGGCGAGTTAGCGATGATGCTATGCGTGCGAAGTCCGCGATAAATCGTCAATAATATGCACAGAGGTCAAGAAAGCGTTTAGCAGCCTTTTTATTGGTTGGCACAGGGAACTGTGCAACGGCTGCGATTTTTCAAGATCAGGACGAAGATCTGTATGACTGACGACGTGACCACGAAATTGCAGCTCTTCGTAGAAAAAGTGGCACTTCTCAGGCTTCAACGTCAAGCCTGCGGACTGTATGGCTCGTAAGACCACTTGAAGCCTTTCAATGTGCTCGTCAAACGTTGCGGAGAACACTATGACATCGTCGAGATATACTAAGCAGGTTTTCCACTTCAACCCGGAAAGCACGGTATACATGAGTCTTTGAAAGGTAGCAAGCGCTGAACACAAACCGAATGGCAAGACCTTAAATTCATATAACCCATCTGGTGTTAAAAAGCGGTCTTCTCGCGGTCTCTCGGGTCCACCTTGATTTCCCAATATCCACTCCGCAAGTCCATTGAAGAGAAGTACCAAGCATTTCGAAGTCTGTCAAGAGAGTCGCGTATACGCGGTAGTGGATATATGTCTTTCCTGGTCACCTGATTTAGGTTCCGGTAATCCACACAGAAGCGCAGGCTGCCGTCCTGTTTCTTAACGAGGACTACAGGCGACGCCCAGGGGCTCTGTGAAGGCTGAATGACGTCATCTTCAAGCATTCTGTCTACCTTCTGTTGTATCGCTTCAGGTTCTTTTGAAGCCACGTGATAAGGGTTCTGGTGAATAGGTCTTGCTGTTTCCTCGGTAATTATTCAATGCCTGGTTAGAGGCGTGCAGCCAACTCTTGATGTTGTTGAAAAGCAGTCTTGAAATTTGGCCAGTAGCTCAAGGAGTCTGTGTCGGTCGTCTTTCGGCAAAGTAATGCTAACGTGCAGAACAGGCACTGAATCAAGATTTAGCGACTTGTTGACTACCGCCAAGCCGCCTTCGGCATCTACGACATCGTCGAAGTAAGCAAGCAGCCGTGCCTCTTGGAAGGTGCCGGCGCTCAGCACCAAAATTGGTCAGCAGCAACTCCGTGCGTCCAACAGCCGTGCCTCTTGGAAGCTGCCGGCGCTCAGCACCAAAATTGGTCAGCAGCAAGTCCGTGCGTCCAGCAGCAACTCTGACGATACCTTGTGCGACGGAAATACCATGGGTGAAGAGCAGCGAGCTTATTTGGTCGGCAACTCCTTCGGCGTAAAACTGAGCAGCGGTGGCCACAGAAACAAGCGTGCATGACCTAGAGGCAGAACCACGTCGTCATCAGTAAGATGCAGTTGGTTTGGTCGCGCCTCTGGAGAATTGGGTAAGCCGGTAACTGTTGCAAAACGTAATCAAGCTTTCTGGTATGTTGATGACGGCGCCATATTCCCGTAAAAAATCCATGCCAAGAATTACATCTTTGCAACATGCGGCGATAACGATGAACAAGGCAGTGAAAGGAGAACCTCTGATGTCAATTCTTGTGGTACATTTTCCAGAGGGCATCAATAACTGGCCCCCTGCCGTTCTTATATGAGGGCCCGTCCACGGCGTCTTCCCTTTTCTGAGGCTGTCAACGAGGTCCTGACTGATAATAGAGAAGTCGGCACCAGTGTCGACTGAAGCTGTCACTTTCTGGCCGTCAAGAAGAACACTAAGGTCGGCAGTCACAATTTCATCGTTTTCACTGCTTATCCGCTGTACCGACGTCATGCATTAAGGTCCGCGTAGGTGCGGCGATGCAACAAAGGTGAACGCGCGGGAGACGGAGAGCGGATTGACGTCTCAGACCAGAAGGGTGAGTAGGCATTGCCTTTTCTGCAGTGGTAGAGCCATCCTCAAAGTAAGAACGGGCTTCATAAAAAGACGTGTCGTCAAGGCGTGGAGTGTATTCATCGTTGGCACATCGACCGTCAAACCAAGGTCGACTGAGGATGGAATGAATCACCTCGATGCCAGCATTAACAGGCAATATGGCCTGCACCTCCGCAGTGAAAGCATAGCGGACGTCTGCCCATTGTGCGCCATGCATCTGTTTTTCGAGTCAGTGGACGTCTGAGCATCTCCCCTGGCGTCGATGCCTATAGGGTGGCTGTGGACGGCTAAGTTGTATGGCTGAAGCTTGGGTGGTTGATGCAGTGTCTGCTCTTGCAGCGGAGACCAGGGGGCCATCGGCACCTGGTGGTACAGCGTCGGCATAGCGGGTGGTGGACGTGGAAAGCAGCAGTGTAGCTCATAGGACGCTGCTGAGCATCAGGACCAGTCGTAGACAACGTTTGGTGGATTTTGTCGTGTACGACTTCAGCGACCGACACGATGGGATTTTCAGCAACCGAAATCCGTATCCTCTGCAGTTCTTTGCGAACTATCTCCCTAATCAAGTCTCTCAAGGAGCTCTGACTTTCAAAAGTCATGGCAATAGCATTGATTGGTACATTGCTGGATATGCGGTCATATTGCATGCAGCGTTGATGAAGGGCCCGCTCGATAACCGTAGCCTCTTTAATGAAGTCAACCACGGTACTTGGAGGGTTGCGCAGCAGCCAGGTGAAAAGCTGTTCCTCGAAACCGCGCATGAGGTAACTCAACTTTTTATCTTCCGTCATGTGCTGGGTTAGCTCGATGAAAGAAACGAGTTATGTCCTTGCCAAACATTGCAACGGATTTTGTTGGGTTTCTGAGCCCGTAGCTCCTATAACTGCCGTGCACAGTCTCTTCGATCGACATTGGCGAAGGTATCGACGAACTTCTGTCGAAATTTGCACCAAGCTGACAGATTGCCTTCTCTATTCTCATACCAAGTACGAGCACCGTCATCAAGGTAGAAATAGACGCGAGAAAGCTTTTCCTGTTCCGACCACTGATTGACCTTGGCAACACGCTTGCAGTGGTCAAGCCAGTCATCAACGTCTTCATGGGCACTGCCACTAAAGCGATCGGAACGAGGGGTTGAAACATGGTCACCTGAGATGGGTGCGTCAGAAAGCTGCCTTGGGGCACTCGTTGCGGGCTTGCGTTGGCCATTGGTTGAAGTGTGCGGTGCCTAAAAAGATCCGGCGAGTGAGTGAGCTCTGGTGCGAAGGCTTCGCAACCGTCGACTGGAGCGATGCACCGGAGTTTCTACAGGTGACAATATGTCTGGACTCGATGAACGGCCCCCAGCGGGCGTGTGGAGCATCAGACAGGATTGCTACCCAGCACTTCCACTAGTGTCGCGGTACAACGCGAACTAAACACAGGTACACCTTGAGACAATGAAAGCAGCGTGTTCTCAACAGCTGAGCCACAAGATCGTCTTCTTCGGTCTAGAGTTCAGCTAGAGGCCCACTACCTCATGTCCACTAAATCCGCCATCATTGTTTTCGTCCACATGTAGACACGCGTCAATATTATACGAAAGAGTGTTAAAATTAAAAAAAAACCAACAAAGAAATACAATCTTGTCATGTTCTTGGGCACATGACGTGGTGAGTGACTGCCAATGAAAGACTACAATTTATCAGGCAGAAACACAAGCACTTCCACATGACCAGCTTAAGGATACCTCACCTAATGTTGCACTGTTTTTGGCAGTTGAAAACATGTACTCACTAGGTGCCTCAGTGGCAGAGGATGGGACTGGTATCACAAAGCAATTTTGGCGATACCTGGATAAAATGCAGCTCTTTGCTCTTTCTAGAACTTCAAAGGATCATCCTTTTTTTGGGGTCAGGAGCCACGCAAGTATTTTTGAACCACTTGACTCTAAGTTCGAGCTCAGTGCTGGTTATTTTTTTATGTTAGCAGTTTAACAACAGTCTCCTGGACTGTTTTCTGTCTTTTTCTGCTTGAGCCATGATGTGCGGCAATCTTATGTGCTCACTTCTGAGCCACTGCACTAGTGAAGTTTCAACAGAAAGCCTTCTGTAATGACGTTAAGAGTTAGTATTAGATACTGCATCCTAGCCAAGTTTCACCATTGGCCTTTGTCGTGCTTTAAATATTCGTGATTAAGTATTATTTGAAATAAATTTGAAATTCAATATTCCTAGAATATTCCTTTACAGTCCATTTTTGATACATGTACACATAAAATAAATCCCCTACGTCTATTTTTAGCTGAACACTGGAATTGGGTGGGGTGATTATGTCATGGCCCCTTTAAAAAGTGTTGCAGGGCCCCCGTCAAAATTGACACGTTCCAAAGGAAGAAGGCACAGTTTGGGGAATGTGTTGCACTTGCCTCAAGTAGGCGGCATCCTCGTCGAAGCCCGGCTTCCCAGGCGAGGCCGTGCGGCTCGACCTCAGTGACCAGCCCCTCAGACTGGACGTGAAAGCCCAGCTGACCGACGGTGTTGCGGCACAACATCAGCTCCTGGGTCTGGACAGGACACAATTCGCATAAGAAAAACAGAGCTACTTTCTCGTATCTTAATGAGAACTGACACAAAATGATGTGAAGGAAAGTATGGGGGATGTTATTAGAGTAGAATCTCAATGATACGAATTCATAGGAAGCACAGAAAATGTTTGTATAATCTCAAATTAGCACGAACCAAAACAAGTTAAGTTGATCATGAGGATAACCAAGGACTTTATTGAGGTCAATCGCTCCTTGCTGAAAAGTTCATAATGAACTTTTGAACTTATATGCCTTCAATGTCTCTCAAGAAAGCTGCAGGAAAGGAATAAAGCCGTGCCGCAGTTTCCTCTCTCATGCTGCTCAAAGGGAGCGAAAGTGGCAAACCTTAGTGAAAATTCACTCGCTTCACCTCTTAAGTGGCTGGAAAACTGTGGTGCAAAGTTGACATGAAAAAAAAAATTTGGTCCATGAGCGTTCTCATTTGAGAAGCGAAGTGAAAATAAAAACGGCAGAGTGGCCGAGACACCACGTCCGCAATGAAAAAAATTTAACATTTATTCTGCACCTTGTACATCCCACCACTGTCGCATTCGCCACTTTGAAAATTCATTCCATTTAGCCAGTTTCTTCAGCATTTAAATTTATATCGACATCTAGTTATGCACGCAAAGCACTGAAAAAAAAAAAAAACAGTTTGCACTTTTTCGAACATTGTTTTGAGAAATATGCTAGCAGAAATGACACGAGCGGACGCATCAGCTGCAGCAGCCAGTTGTGAAAAAGCGAGACCAATGGGGGCATGCCGTTTCGCTGCTGTTGCTGCACCTTCTATAGTAGCAGTGTTTTCAGCAATTGTAATCTAAACCAAGCTCTTGATGAAAGTGCGCTCCTGTCGAGCCTGTGAGCTTCGTTGTGCTGCGCAGATATAATCGGGGACAACTTTCTGTGGCAATGAAGGGAAAGCTATGGGGGCGGAGCTAACTGCTCGGTGTTACTGCGCCAGTGTAGTCCCCTGTAAACTTGTCTCGGATCCACTTTCGGCGTGACAGATGCATATTTTCTGCAGTCCATTTCTTTGCATGTGCTCCTTCGTAGGTTGCGTTGAACCACGATTACCGAGCGTGCAGGCATATTGGCGTTTCGTTCCTAACTCTTTCATTTGTCTGTCATTATGAGTCATCCAGAAATGACGTGAATACTTTCAACGCTGCAGTTTTTAGAGCATGCACTGAAATGTACTTATCTAGAGCTGAAAACTGATGTGTGTAGAGTGCTTACATAGCACAGGCACGGCGTTTCGAAGAGCAGCTTGCACATCCTTACAGTAGACTTAGCGCAAATACCAAGACGAGAGGCGCTAAATTTACCATAAGAATGAACCAACTCAGCCAACAAGTCACTCTACTGTATTGTAAATCCTGTGGCGCGAGGTGAAATTCAGTTTGGATCGCGTTGAGTTAGGCTGCCACCAAAAGGCATCAGTGGCCCGCTCCTCACAAGCTTTTGCGGCTCAGGAACTGTATAGCAACGACCTCGCCCCACTGCCGAACTCACGAATCCTGTGCTCAATCTCAACTGCTGCCCATTTTCGTCTCCGTCATGAAAATTGTAGGGGCATGCGGTCGTCACTTACGATACTGCATGGTGCCAGTTATGCACACCTCAGTATAGCAATTTTATGTTGCATTCGTTAGAATACTTACTTAGAACAGGAAGGCATGTGAACCCCGGCACTGATAAAACAATTTGAACAGCAACCAAAGTAAGGTACGTGAAAATACGCAAGAACCCGACGTTTTGAAACCAACTCGGTTCCTACCTCAGAGGGCAACTGTGGCGATGTCGCAGCGGCATCTTGAAGGCCCTCGCGGGGCGGTTAGTGATCCCCCATTTTGTCAAGAAGCATAGTCCATGTGGATACACAGGGGGAAGGGTTGGGAGGGCACAGTTGATGTTTTGGGCCGTTCACTGTATATGCCATGACTTGAGTAGTAGCCTTCTCTTCCAGTTAGTCTCGACCAGGATGGTCGTTTCGTTGAAATTTATCTGTTGGCCAACCGCCTCACGTATCTTAATTTGGTTGGAGTTAAAATCGCTTTCCCAGTTTACCTAACCAACTTGACAGACATTTGTCGAATGTTTACATTTAAACCCCGGCAGGTCTGTAAAATTTCATGCTTTCTGAACATCTACACAGTTAGCGCTGGTTCTAAAGTTCAAAAATAAATAATCCGCATTGAGCCATGCAACAGTACGCTTGCTTACGCAGGTAAGTTGGCTGACCGGACGGTACACGGAAGCGACGGAGAGTCCCGGTTGCGTCAGTCTCATTTAGGCATAGACGTTGTCGACAAATTGCTTGGTTTGTTTCGGCAGCTTTTGTTACTAAAGCTTCTTAGACATACTGTATGGTGTGAGCGAATTGGCGAGCGATCAGAGGAAGAAGGGAGAAGGTTTGGGCGCGCTGGTTATTCATTGATCTTGGTAACACATACTTGTCCAAATCTCTTTCTGTCACATGTTCTTATCTGCACTTCTGTTTTATGAAAAAAGAGGAGGAAGGAGGCGCTAGTGATGTGGAGGCCATTTTTTTTTTTTTTGGAAGAAAGATGAAGGAAGAGAGCCAATGAGACAGCAGGGGGGCATGCGGCAACTGAAAAAAAAAACCCAAAATATCTAAAACATATCGCTATTTCACACAATATCACTAACAATTTCCTGGCATTATCAATTAGCAGAATAGAAATTGTGCACTTTTAAAAAATTTGATTACACACACAAAAATTTTTTTTGTTCAACTGCAGTTGACGTCCGATTTCCCAGACCCTCAAGGGACCGCGAAAACATCCGGAAAATCTGGCAGTCCGGAAAAAGGAATGCTTGTAAAAACGCACCTTATTTTGTGGGTATTTTTTGCTGGCAGAGAAGGTAACGACTGGAGTACAAGATTACCATTACAATTGAGTCAATGCATCACTTAGGTGGCTCTGAAAAGAGCCGTTTATATATATATAAAAGAAAAAATCCGACTAACCGGCACTACCTCATAGGTCAGCACTTGGGCTCAAAGAAGTCGCCTATTTTTTTTTTGCACGGTGTTCCACTTGCCTGCGATCATGTCAGCCTCAATTTCAGTCAACGTCAAGTTGCCGCTGCTCATCGATGACAGTGTCACCAGTGCTCCTGTCTACTCCGAGCTCGCTGACTGTGTAGGAGATGACTCTTCGTTCTTGGTGTCGGAGTCGTCGAAATCCTCTGTAACTTGACGAATGATTTTGTCATCGGTCAAGTCTGCACATAGCTCGACGTCTTTGTCAGCGCCGTCGAAGCCCTCAAAAGTTATTCCAACTAGAATCGACATGCCGGCAGTGCGCAGACGGTCGAAGGCAATATCCGCGGATAGCAGTTCGTCACACACGCTGTCCACTTGAGGCAAGACAGCCGTCTCGATGTCGAGTGTGAAGCCTGCCTGGCAAAAACAGTTGCGTAGAGAGAGTCTCTTGCGTAACCGCCTTCCATGATTCCGCTAGCATGCCGACGGCAGACCTGAGGTCAACAGCGTAGCTTTTCGCGAGAACCACGCGACTAAGCATGCATGATTTGGAATGATGCTTCAAGTTCCGAATCACGCCTTGGTCGTCTGCTGCAGGATTGCTGTGGTGTTCGGCGGCGGAAATTCAATCTGTATAGCCTTTAGGTCCTTGATGTGGCCATGCACAGTGCAGTTGTCCACAAACAGCAGAACTCTTCGATTTTGCTGCTCAAACCTTCTGTCCAGCTTGCGCACGTAAGCTTCGAACAACTGCTGCGTTGCCCACGCCTTCTTGTTGGCTTCATAAAGAACAGGCACAGTCACTGCCCCTTTGAAACATCTTGGCTGCTTCGACTTGCCTATTACAGTTCGAGCCCACATAACACGGCTCCACTTAAAACGAACTTTCCCTTAAAACAAACAATATCCGCCAGACTGTGAAAATATACATTGGTTCAATGGCACGAAATCGCACTTACAACAAATGTCTCTGAGCGCCGCTGGTCGGTTACAGGGAACGGAGTGGGCGGTCTGCCAACTTCCCGAAAAACCAATTTCGACCACCGATCACGCATCGGCGAGGTGCCCATACATTCCTATTGTTAAACGCCGACCCTGCCTCCGCGACCCTCTAGTGCCGTTCTCCTCAACCCACAGAGGAAGGAAAGCTGTTTCCTTTCTTCATGCCCCGACTGCTTTTTGTTACGCACCCCTCCGTCATTTGTCCTCCCGCTACTCTCAGCACCTCTTATTGCCAGACGAGACCCGTGTTTTCACACTGCCACTGATCTTTCGAAGACCGGTCGGCCATCTACCCTGTTTTTGATCGCTGGTACTGTCGTTGGTGTCCCCGACCTGGAGTGACCAGAACATTTGCCAACATCGTCGGCCACCGACTGTATGCGATAGTCTGCATCTAGTGCATGCGCGTACGCTACCCCACTGACTCTGATAATTTGCAATTCGTTTCGTGTTTAGAACTTGTTCTCGCTCACTTCACACTCGGCTCAGCATGTCTTCCGCAAGCGTGTGGAAACGCGAAAACGGCTGTCAATTTGCGCAGAACGAATTGCGAAATATCGAAGTTCGTGAGGCCACGCAAAGCCACCGGCGCAACAAAACCATTTTTTGACTACGGCCGCCGATTCTTCGAACACCGCCGCGCGCACAGATCTAGGTGCTAATGCTTTGACTTCTGCGCGCGTAGGCATTATTTCCAAGTTTTTCTATGCGCGAGTTTCACGAACCTTTCAAGCAAGCCACCTAACCTGCCTACTTACCATGTGTTTTGATTTTCAAGGTCGCCCTCCCGCCGCATCCTCCCCTCTCTTTATCGCAACTCCTTGCCCTTCTTTCGCAAGTCTGCTCTCCTCTCTTGATACAACCCCTTTGCCCGTCTCCACCGCTCCGAGACGCCCGCCACGATGGCTCGGAATTAGTTTCGTTTTCTGACTACAAACGGGCCCAGAGCTGTTCCACGCATTCT